TAAGATGTAAATAGTTAAAATCTATTTACTTGGTAGGTTAGAATTACCTTATAGGTTCATTCGTCTTGAAGATCAAATTCTATATCAAAGTCAATCAGAGGACTATATTATTTCTTATTCGAATTAAAAGGTACGATAAAGTATTAACATCAGCGAATATAATGACATAAACAACCACGAATTATTAATCAGAGAGAAGAATTTATGTCCAGAGAGAAGAAAATAACGTAAGAATTTTAACGAAGTCACCTCGGTCCATCAAGGTCTTGATTTAGTACTTTCTCTAAATATTGTTCTTTATGTGAATCGTTCTATCGATCTTCTTTCTTCTTGACTGGCGTTCGCATCTATCGAGGGTTCTTCAAAAGATATAGTTCACGTCGTTCCCTTCGAGTTCGTAAGCAAGAGTGTTCTTCTAATCAAAAGTGCAGTCGCAACAACAACAGCAACTATATACAAAGAGTAAGAGAAAGAGAGAGATAGATAGAAAGAAGGAGCGCTCACAATCTCCTACATACAATGTTACTGATAAAACGAGCATCCTATTAGCAGACATGCTAGTTACGATGTACTTACTTGAAGCTGAATGACGGCAAGGGCTCCCATAGGCTGTGCATGGAACATGTATATGGTTTTCTGGTGAAATTGTCTTTAATTGATAAACGCTTTTTCCTGTTTATCCTGGTCATTGAGTTATGACTGCTATTTCAAAAATTTATTCCATGGAAATGTCCATTCCTGATTGTTGACAAATTAGAACTACTGAATTTCGCGACGAGCTCTTTGCTGCCATCTCAGCTGGTATCACGAAAAAAAGGTTCTAATGCAGAACTGCTTCCCAAAGTAATGGCCATTTTTCATTTTTAACACGAGAATCCAAACTTTAGTTTCCACTTTTGTTGATTTCAAGATGGACAAAAAGTAAACAAAAAAGTATTTTTTGGATATATTTGAAAGATAATGTTATTACCAGAAAGATCTAGAAGATGTCTACATATTTCAGTTAATGTCTTTGTTTTTCACGATGAGCAGCGTCTTCCGCCTTCCCTGTTTTTGAGGCGTCATGCCTCCAACGCTAAAAAACCTTTCATGGGAAGTTGTTGAGGAGATGGGTGTAATAGATAGTCGAAAGACACTTTGTACAGCTCAGTATTCATTTTCGTAATGTCATTATTGTTAATTTTAAGTTGCTATTAAGTACCACCAAATTAATTTAGCTGCGAATTTGCAGGAGAGCCAAACATTTGTTTGTGTCAACAACGAGCTTGTATGCAATTCATGTAGAGGAATCGATCCACCAAAGATCTGTGCTGGCTGTACTCGTGAATTCATGCCAGAAGAGAAGAAAATTGGAGTGAAGGAAAACAATGAGTATTACCACGAACTTTGTTTCCTGTGCAGCAAATGCAACAACCCTATAGGAACCCAGCAGTTTGTAAGAACAGGCCCAGGGACCCAAACCTGTAACAGCTGCTATCAGTCACGTCTTCAGGTAGCTTGCGTATTACATTCATTGTTTTCTCTCATTTATGTTTACGTCCCTAATAGAAAGCTCGTGAAATGTTAAATCTTGAGTAATTTATACGTTTGCAGGAATTTTTATTTTTATTCACCGTCCTGTTTTGGTAGCCAACGAATTTGAGGGAGAGCAGTTGCTTTCTGTGAGCCATGAGTCGATTGTTTGACGATGGGTCCCATTTTGCAACCATTTTCCCATTTTGTTTGACGATGGGTCTCTAAACTTTAGAAATATACAGAAATACGTTAAACGGCCCTGAGTGTGTCAGCCTCTCATGTAGTTTTTCATCTCATATCTTTTTAAGGATTGCATCAAATGCGCAATGGCAATCAAAGGAAACGTGGTGAAATTTGAAGGCATGCCTTACCATCCTGAGTGTTTCATTTGTGAGCAGTGCAGAGTTCCTTTGTCAGGTATGCTTTTTGCACTTTTGCTATAATGAACTCGCAGTGTTATGTTAAGTTGTCTGTATATACTCAATCGAACATAATCGCCGCTGGTTATGCCAGTTAGAAGCGCCTTGGTTATTTGCATTGGCAGTTGATATCATATTAACCAACTCAGAGCTGCCATGAACTGAAAGGGAATCCACTCTTGCAAATAGAGAACGAGATATCCCCCAAAACAAAATGATTCCCTGGGATTTTCAGATAAAACATAGAATTTCAACCAATGGTGTACGAGATTCTTATTGAGTTATTTGCTCCTCGATGGACGTCGGAAGCATTTCATAGT